CATAAAAGCTGGTGGCAAGTCCCTGGAAAGCAGCCGGAGGGGGGGCATGTCCAAGCATCCCTGGGGGATGTGAGACATCCCAGAGGCTCCTGGGTCACACGTGGGGAGGGGAGGGGAAACCGGAGCTGGTGGCAAGAGGCATGTGCCGCCCCAGCCAGCCGGTGCAGAGGAAGGGCAGAGCTCAGACCCCTTGTGTGAGGCTTGGAGGAAAAGAAAGAAGGAAGGGATCGGCTTCTCTGTCTCTGCCAGCTTAAACAAAACCTTTTAAAACCAACTTTTTTCCTCTGTGTCCAGGACAGAGCTGCCGGTTCTCCATCAGCACGCAGCCAGGGACAGGCTGGTCCTTGGGACGAGGTGCTTGCCTGGGCAGGAACTGGGACTGCCGTCCTTGTGCTGCCCTGTGCAGCCTGTGGCAAGTCCCTTTGCCTCGCCGCACCTGGGGCTGCCGGCTCACCCCTGCCGCAGGACATCCCACCCGTGGTTGCTCCTGCTGCATCAGAGAGACCCCTCCAGGGGCAGGGGCCGCCCCTGCCCTGGGGTTGCAAATTCCCCTGGTGCCAAGTACCGCAGAGAAATTGCTGTAAGAGCAATGAAGCACCAACGTCAGCACCAAGAAGCTGAACAGTGAGACCCTGTATTTTCAAAAAGAGAGCGAAAACAAAGTGTGAGTCTCTGCACAGCAGATGAAGGGGAAAATGCATTCTTTAGAGGTGTCTCTGCAAGAGCTGTGCTATCGCAAAACTTAATTTCTTATGCCGTATCCCGCAGCAAACTGAAGAAGAGGCTCCTGCCGATATGAGAAGAGTCTCTTCCCAACATGAAAGCCACTCTGCCTTTGACACCCCTATATCAGCTGTCCTGGGGCTTTATTAGATGCAGGTTTCAAGCACCTACGTTTGAGAAGCCTGCGTGGGAAAGCAGAGATGCTGCCACGGTCCCTCCCAGCCCTGTGGCGGGGTCCTCACTCCGATGCCGCTGTGCTGATGCTGCTTTGGCAATTTGCGATGAGCTTTGCCAGCTGACCCCAGCCCCGACCCTTCAGAGCCTGTTTTTTCTGCTTTTCCAGTAAGTTGAATTGAAGAGAAGAAAAGCTGCGTGGGAGAACGAGCATTTTAATTAGATTGATACCGGCCAGAGAAGGCAGGAGAGGGGCTGCCAGCTTGGCAAATCCAATTTGGTTTAACTAAACAGAGGAGTAAAGTTAACTCTGTAATCTCTGCTCGGCATCGCTCGGGGGGTGCCTCCTTCCCTTCCCGTTTGCTTAGGCGGGTAAGACCCAGCGGTGGGTCGGGGAGAGCCCCAGGGAGGCTGTACAGCCCCCACTTTATTCAGACAACATTAAATTCTAGCAGAAGACTGAAATAATGAAAGTCATTAACTGTAACTGAGACTGCAGCCCCCGGCTGGGTAGCATCGAGCAGCATGTGGCTGGGGGAAATGTCAGCTTTTCCTTCGGGAAATCTCTTCTTAGATCCCATCTGATGGCCTGAGTCCTGACCCCTCCTTTCCAGCAGCATCCCGGTGGGAAAGGGTTGGCTGCTCCTCCGTAACACTCATGGGATCCCCATCGCTGGTCCAAAATGGAGAAGAGGACAGAGGACTGATGCCTCTCAGTTTGGGGGGCTGCACAGGGAAAGCTGGAAAAAAACTGGCCTTGGTGGGAATCTGTGGATGGGAACATCTGTGGGATGGTTGTCCTCATGTCACAGCACATCTGTCAGTACCGGGACCTCAACTGGCTGTGCACATCCATGCACCCCTGCACCCACACACCCCGCACCAGCTGAGCCAGAAAGGATGGAGCCAGCATCCAGCCTGGCACAGGGATGCGGGATTTGCTGGGCAGAGGGAGGGAGGGAGCGGGGGGGAGGGAGGAGGGCATCCGCGGGGGGCAGGGAGGAGGGCATCCGCGTTGGAAGGTGGGGGTTGGGGTCTGCTGCTAATAAGCAGCTTGTACCCATCTGAGGGTGGGGTTGGAAAAAAGAAGAGTCTTTCTTTTCTGCAGCAGACAGCTTTATCTCTGACTTGATTTCCAGGCAAATGGTAGGGGGATTCACTGACTCTGTTATTTCCACTTTGTTTCCCTTTCAGTTTGTCTTTCATCTGCTTCTGCAGCATTTTCCTTTGCTGGGATGCTCACAGACCGCTTGCCAGGCAGCAGCACATCGTCCCCACCCTCCGCAGCCCCAGCTGTGCACAGCTGCTCCTCTGGCACCCTCACCTCCCACCACATGAATGTAAATCGGGTGCTGGGGGACGGGTCGTGCCGATCTGGGCTTGGGCTTCCTGCAGAACCCGTGCAGGACCCAAACTACCTCCAAAACACATGCTCAGTGCGGGAGGAAACTCTGATGGGTGCCAGCGGTGGCTTCCTCGGTGTCTCCGGTCAGTGCAAAGCTGAGGGTAGCTGAAGCCATTTGATGAGGAAAATTATTTCCACTTATAAATCCATGTCTGCGTCTATTGGAATTATCTTCTGAAAAGGTGAGGGACAAAGTCATGCCACAAATCCAGATGCTGATTTTGGTTTTGGTACCCTATTGTGGTCATGGAAATCCAAATGTGTGACATCAAGACTTCGAGTCTGGCCCGAAGAACGAGGCATTTGTCGGCTGTCCCTTTTCCTGTTTGCAAATCAGCAATCTGCACTTTTATGCACCTTTTCCCATTTCCAGTTGCTTGATTAAGCCTTTATACAAAGCTCGCCCAGCCTGGGGTTTGGCCACCTGCTCCTTACTCTGCTCCTTACTTCGGAAAAACTGCCATTTTTTAAATTTATTACCAGCATCAGCTAAATAATACGGCGTTGCTTGTGCCCCCCCAGCTGGAGGGCTCCCAGACCCGCAGCAGGGTCACGTAATGGCCGTGCAAATGCTTCCAGCGTGAAGGCACCTACTGAAGCGCATTCATGTAAGACTTTTAGCCAAATGACACCGAAGTCAGGGTGGATCCGGGGTATTTTCTCCTCTTTGCAGATGAGAATGTCTTTGTGAGACTCCTCAAGGCAGGATTTTGGGGAGGGTGAGGGGTGCTGTGGAAGAGAAGCGCCCGGGAAGGTGCAGAAGCTGGGTTGGAGGCTCCCTGAGTGGGAGAGCGAGGGCTGGTACCCACCAACACGAGACTGCCTGAGCTGAAAGGAGGGAAGAGTTACTGGGAATAAGCTGTTCATTTCCACTTATCTATATCCCAAATTTTTGGTTGCATTTTTCAGGAGCCTTGCAGAGCACAGATAAAACAAGTTTCCAGAAAAATAGCCATTTTTATACTTTTTCAAAGCTATTTTACACACCCAGCTTCACATTAAAAAAAAAGGGACAGTTTTTATTCTTTGATGTCTAATTGCCACAATCTGAAAATAAACCAATAAAAGAAACATCTGAACTAATGATCTGCCATCACAAAGGCTTAATGGAAAAAATCATCCTGTCAAGTATTATTACATTAAAGCCATTTCTGAACTTAAGAAAAACATAATGGGACAGTGGTGTGGTTTTCAAAATATGTATCTTTAAAAATCTATAATGCTCTGAAGCAAAAGAATTCAATTGCCTTTTTTTTTTTCATTTTCAGCTTTTCAAAACACGGATTTGAGATCTTCTACCTGGAGCGTTACTGCGCAGCGCAAAGCCGGAGCCAAAGGAGAAGTCCTTAATCAAAAGCATCCCCTACTTTTTAAAATACTGCCTACCTCTCATTCTTATTTATTCCTTTAAGGAAATAAGCCAAGGCAGAGCGGTTGCTGAGTTTGGTACGTGAGCTGCACACACAGCAGCTATCTTCAGTTTGTTGCTTTAACACTAATGGCAATAGATCCACAGTTCAATACGCTCCTCAGATTTACGGTACCCTGCAGAAGGCCCTGCCGAACCAGTGAAAGTTGCTTTGAGCTGTTTCGTCTTTCTTTTTTCTTCACTCGTGCTCTACTGACTCACCTAAAGCAACTGGAGAAGCAGAACCCCATTTTAGCCATGCAGCGGGGCAGCCGGATCCTCACCGCAGGCTGGGGTTTCTCTCAGCTTACCTGGTTCCAGTCACTTTGCGCTAAATTTCTGCAACTCCACCCCTAAGACCCCTGAATCCATCTTATGCGATACATCGGGGGGCAGAGCGGTTAGGCTGTGTGTCTATGGGGTGGCCCCTATATCTACAGGGTATGTCGGTGGAGGGTTTTGGGGGGGGAGCAAAGGCATAGCTGGTGTAAACAGAAGAGGAGGCCATCATCTCCGCTCCTTTTTTTCCCCTTTGCAAGCATGCTCTGCCGCTGTGCGAAAGCAAAGCCTCTCTCTGCCGGGGCAGACAGCCAGCACTGAGGGTGCGTGGGAGGACAGGGATGCTCAGGCAGACGGACACGTATCATCCACACCCTCACGCGCAGGTAACGATGAGTTTTTGTGGGAGCCCGTTAAGCTTTAAGGTCCTTTTCTACCTCCAACCTGGACCTGGTTTCACTGAGGCTGTGTGAGATCCTGAATAAATATTGGCAGTTTAAATAAGGTGATGCTCCTTACCGGCTCTTCCTCCTGTGAGGGCATGGGGGAGAACCGGCCGTGACAAGCTCTTCTCAATGCCCTGAGGTTTGCATCAGTTCCCATAAAACCTCGCTGTCTCTGTCCCTGTCGAACGGCACGGTGCTTCCCCTCGCAAGTATTTCAAAACACGGGTAGTATTTCCTCTTCAGTTAGTTTTGTAAGAATATTTTTAGTACGAAACTAGTTGTCATGATCATACTGCCAGGGACCCTTGTTGGTATCAGCCATGGTGATGCTTTCCAAAGCCAGGTTACAAACCTTGCTGGAAACCGATGGGCAGCTCTTTGCTAAACCTGCATCAGGATGCTCCCTGTCTGGGGCAGACGGGCTCTGGCTCCTGGGAAGAGAGATGGAGCCAAAAAGCGGCCTTCATGCCCCACCGTGCCATGGAGCAGTGCCAGGTGACCTCATCCCACGCAGGAGCTCAGGCAGCTCCCATGGGACACACGAGGCCACCGCTGCTGGGGAGCCATGGTGGGAAGCACTGGGGAGAAGAGGCTGCAGAAGAGGTTCCATGGGGGAGCCGTCACCCCGGGGCCAGAAATGCCTTTTGGCGGTGAGGCAAGGACGGGTCAAAGAGAAACCTGTGGAGCGGCTGGTCATGCCAGCAAGGGACTTGTGCAGGTGTCCCCTAAAAATTCAGACTTCCTCGTGTGTCGTTACCTATTGAGCACACGCTCCTCTCCTCTCCCATGCTGGGGTCCCCCGTCTGAGCACGCTCATGAAACCCGGGGGTTGCTTTTAGCCTTGCCATTGGGTTAACATCTTGACCATCGTTTTTCTGGAGTCCGAAGGCGACCCCGGGCTGCTGGCCAGGGAACCCCTGTACCGAGCCGCTCGCACGCTGCTGCTTAAAGGCATCAGCTCCGCAGTGTCTCCTTTTCCTTTCCACACTGGAAAAGCTGGACATCGCTGTTGTGATCTCTCTGAAATAATGTAATTTGCAGACCTGCTATTTCCTGAGTAAAACTCAATTTTTAGTACTTCAGGTTTTGGGGTTTTTTTTCTCAGATCAGATAGGAGCCTGTTCAGGGCAAACATCAAGTACTTTTTAAAAGCCTTTCCTGCTCTGCTTCTGAGAGCCTCTCTAAAGCAATCAGTATTTGCATAAAATCAAAATACATCTATTGAATCAAAAGCAAGCTGGAAAAAACTATCTGTAAGGGATTTCAAAGGAGATAATAAAGCTGCTAGAAATGATTCCGGGAGCACACACAAAGACACAGAGCCCAGTCCCAGGTACCTGAAACCACTGCAGATGAATACACAGGTGACATTCAAACCTCACGTAGTCCCAAGCAGGACCACCATGAATATAAGTATCAGCCTTTCTCTATCAGCACTGAGACCTCTGACCCCAAGGCTGCTTCTTCTGACTCGTGTTACAGGAGGAAGAGGGTGCAGATTTCCATCCGTCTTCATTCTGTGGCTCTTCATTCCTGCGAGGGAAACCCTCCTGACGGCTGGGAGGGACGAGAAGGCGCGAGACCCCTGCCGCCTGCTGCTGCTTCGTCTTCATAAACCGAGGAGGAGGGTTACAAGCTCTGGCCAACTTATTTTTTTCCCTAAACACCACTTCTTCTCTGAAGTCTCTCGTTTCCCTCAAGCACTTCTGCCTTCCTTCGGGGAGTCCTGAAACTTTGAAGGGCAACCCTCCTGACGGCTGGGAGGGACGAGAAGGCGCGAGACCCCTGCCGCCTGCTGCTGCTTCGTCTTCATAAACCGAGGAGGAGGGTTACAAGCTCTGGCCAACTTATTTTTTTCCCTAAACACCACTTCTTCTCTGAAGTCTCTCGTTTCCCTCAAGCACTTCTGCCTTCCTTCGGGGAGTCCTGAAACTTTGAAGGGCGTCTGCAAGGGGCGCACGGCTCGTTCGAAGCGGCGGCTGCCGGGTCGGGCCTTTCTCCAGCCTACCTGGCACGGCCGAGATCCCTCCCGCCAAAACCTGTGCCCAAGCACACCCTCGTTTAG